GTTGGAACTACACAAATGAGCGAGCAGTGTATGTAGCACTTTGTGTTGGCAAAAGGAGCGCACTGGTTGGAACTACACAAATGAGCGAGCGAGCACTGTATTCTAGCACTTTGTGTTGGCAAAAGGAGCGCACTGGTTGGAACTACACAAATGAGCGAGCGAGCACTGTATTCTAGCACTTTGTGTTGGCAAAAGGAGCGCACTGGTTGGAACTACACAAATGAGCGAGCAAGCACTGTATTCTAGCACTTTGTGTTGGCAAAAGGAGCGCACTGGTTGGAACTACACAAATGAGCGAGCAAGCACTGTATTCTAGCACTTTGTGTTGGCAAAAGGAGCGCACTGGTTGGAACTACACAAATGAGCGAGCAGTGTATTAGCACTTTGTGTTGGCAAAAGGAGCGCACTGGTTGGAACTACACAAATGAGCGAGCAAGCACTGTATTATCGCACTTTGTGTTGGCAAAAGGAGCGCACTGGTTGGAACTACACAAATGAGCGAGCAGTGTATGTAGCACTTTGTGTTGGCAAAAGGAGCGCACTGGTTGGAACTACACAAATGAGCGAGCAAGCACTGTATTATAGCACTTAGTGTTGGCAAAAGGAGCGCACTGGTTGGAACTACACAAATGAGCGAGCAAGCACTGTATTATAGCACTTTGTGTTGGCAAAAGGAGCGCACTGGTTGGAACTACACAAATGAGCGAGCAAGCACTGTATTATAGCACTTTGTGTTGGCAAAAGGAGCGCACTGGTTGGAACTACACAAATGAGCGAGCAGCTGTATTATAGCACTTTGTGTTGGCAAAAGGAGCGCACTGGTTGGAACTACACAAATGAGCGAGCAAGCACTGTATTATAGCATTTTCTGTTGGCAAAAGGAGCGCACTGGTTGGAACTACACAAATGAGCGAGCAGTGTATGTAGCACTTTGTGTTGGCAAAAGGAGCGCACTGGTTGGAACTACACAAATGAGCGAGCGAGCACTGTATTCTAGCACTTTGTGTTGGCAAAAGGAGCGCACTGGTTGGAACTACACAAATGACAAACGCACACACAGCCACCAAAGACTCTTTTATTTTTTTAAAATATTTTTTGTATTTTTTTAAGAATAAAAGGCAGGTATTTTTAGAAAATATTCAAAAATGGAAACTTAACCAAAAACTGGCCCTGATGTGGACCAAACACAGCCACGAGACAGGGCAAATGAGAGCACACAGCAACAGAAGAGTCTTTTCTTTTATAATTTTTGTATTTTTTTTAAGAATAAAAGACAGGTATTTTTAGAAAATATTCAAAAATGGAAAATTAACCAAAAACTGGCCCTGATGTGGACCAAACACAGCCACGAGACAGGGCAAACGAGAGCACACACCAACAGAAGAGTCTTTTCTTTTTTAGAATATTTTTTGTATTTTTTTAAGAATAAAAGACAGGTATTTTTAGAAAATATTCAAAAATGGAAAATTAACCCAAAACTGGCCCTGATGTGGACCAAACACAGCCACGAGACAGGGCAAATGAGAGCACACAGCAACAGAAGAGTCTTTTCTTTTTTAGAATATTTTTGTATTTTTTAAGAATAAAAGGCAGGTATTTTTAGAAAATATTCAGAAATGGAAAATTAACCCAAAACTGGCCCTGATGAACAAAACACAGCCACGAGACAGGGCAAATGAGAGCACACAGCAACAGAAGAGTCTTTTCTTTTTTAGAATATTTTTTGTATTTTTTTAAGAATAAAAAATATTAAATATTAAAATAAAAAATATTCAAAAATATTTAAAAATGGAAAATTAACAAACAAATTGACAAAAACCGAAGGAAGGAATGAAGGAATGAATCCAAGCAAGGAATTAAGCAACAAGGAATGAATCCAAGCAAGGAATTAAGCAGCAAGGAATGAATCCAATCCAAGCTTAGTTGCAAGCCAACCCAATGCTAGCCTGAAGCCACCCTCCCGGACCTCCTCTCTTCTCCCTCGCCTCTGCAACAATGAGCTGTACGGCCGCGCGGAGCCGCTTTTAAAGGGCTTGCCGGCCAATCAGAAACAGCCACGGTGCACTGCTTGGGTGCTTGGGAGCGCCGGATTGGCTCCCAGGGCACCAGCAGCCTCCATCCCATTTACGAAACGGGCGGAAGCTCGTTAAAACTATGGGGGTTGCCGGTTCGATATTTTTAAACCCTTCCGGGTTTGAAAATGTGTTTTGTTATCGTTTCGTAAATGCTAAAAATAACGAATTAATAACGAATTACAAAATTAACGAACGAAACCGCCCAGGCCTATTTGCCAGATTTAAACTGCTGGTTATAATGGTGTGTGTGTCTTGAGGGTGAATTATCAGAGTTGTAATGCACTCTCTTCAGTTTATTCCCAAGCTCACATTAATCATGAAAATATCTAAAAAAAAACCCAGTTCAATCAGAAGTTGATTTCCTCGATAGTCTTTAGAAAATAGAAAGTATTTTATGACATGAGTATTTCCTATTCTAAAAGAGCTATTTATGGTAAAGGTATATTTCAGGTATTTCAATTATTCTAGAGGCAACACTTCACGTTTTCATGTTTTATTGAGTACAATATGTATGTGAATTATTATTTAAACTTGGAGAAATGGCATCATCTTTCTAAGATCTAAAGGGTGCTTTTCTTCTTATGACACTCTTTTGCCATCTGGTGGTAAACTGACATAACAGCACTTCAAAGTGAACTACTTCCTTTTTTGCAAAACACAGCAAAATGCAAAATTCACAAAAGCTAAATAGCTTTATTGGCCAGCCAAAACACCCAAACTGTATCTAATGCAAGCTTTCCAAGATTCGGTGTCTGTATAATCAAGCAAAGATGTGGAAAATTATATAGGAGAAGAAAAGTGATTAGAGGTGTCAGTTTATACCATTACCATGAATGCATCCTTCAATGAATATGACCATTCAACCATAATATTGTCAGGAAAGGATGGGGACACCGTACTCTCTGCATGGCTTATTATAACCACATAAGATAATTTTAGACCACTCAAAAACACTTAGCTTAATCCACTGATCTCAGAGTCCACTGAGCCTTAGAATAAAAGACCCATAGAATCAAATAGACATGTGCGTGGAATTCATTGTTACATCTCCTCTGTTTCTTTAGGTACTTTTGGGAGCTCTTAACAGAAAAGGCTCTTTGAAAACCCACTTGACATGAAAGCAAGTGGGAGAAAATCTCAGCCCCTCCTCTACTTTTCAGCATCACAGTTTAATCTTTTTTATTAATCCCCCTGAAAGCAAACAGAAAAACCTCATTCCCTAAAAACTACACTCCTTTTCCAGGAGGTCATCATTCTTCCTTACCTGGAAGTGGAAAGACTCTTTAAAATGCCTTGGAAAGAGTATGAGGCAGGTAGTGTGATGCAAATACGGAGAGAAAGCACACGCACCTGCCTGCAGCCAAGTGCCTCCTCTAGAGTAAGAAAGCCATCACTTGCCTCCTTGCCTTGGAAAGAGAGTGTGTGTGGCATGCAGGCCCAGAAAGCGCATGCACCTGTTTGCAGCCAATAGCCTTTACTAGAGTAAGAAAATCAGAACTTGCCTCATTACCTTGGAAAGAGTTCATGTGTGGCTTGGAGGCCCAGAAAGTGGGTGTGTCTGCCTGCAGCCAAGCACCTCTCCTCTAGAGTATAAACAAGTAAGATGCCTCCTTAAAGCATACACCTGCCTGCAGCTGAATGCCTCTCTTCTGGAGTAACATAGCTTAAATGCCTAAAATGACAAGATGGAGAGACTGGGAAGCCCCCTGCCCCCCATAATGAGCCAATAGAAAATACATCTTTTGGCACCCTGGAATGAAAACAGGTATCTGCCCTCCCGATTTTTGGAGGCTCCCAAAAAATGGATTGGGGCCTCCACTGAAACCTGGGACATGAAACAGGTCAAGGTTTACCCCGAATACACAAGTCTAGAAATAAAGAGTGGGATGAGACCTCCAGGGTCACCCAGTCCAATCCCATTCTGCCATGCAAGAACCTGCTGTAAAAGCACCCCTGACAGACAGCTATCCACCCTATGTTTAAAATCCTCTGCCATGGTCCGAGGCAGGATATTCTAGTGCAGAATAGTTCATGCTGTCTGGAAGTTCTTCCTAATGTTTAGGTTGATATTTTTTTTCCTGCAATTAGAATCCATTGCTCCATTTGCTGGTAGTATTGCCTTTCCTGATCACATGGTTGGCATCCTGGTGTGACCTCATCAGAAACCACATCACTAGCAAACCTCTACCAAGGAGCTTATTTTGGCTGACAATGCAGCATTGGGTTCATTGGACATACTGATGGTGGATCAGGCCAGATCCAAACTGTTCCAGCTGTCCTCACCTCCAAAACTCCAGGAACATTCCAGAACTCACAGGAAGCTGCAACGGAAATCCCTTTCTACCTTGGTGTGCATTAGTGGCTGAATGCAGTATTTCTGCTACAAATCCAGCTATGAGTCATGGGGACTCCCCTCAGCTGAGAGGTGAATCCATGGCTTTAGATATCGGATTGCAGTATTGTCTTCAATTATGCTTTACAACTCTCACATTAAATGAAAGTGTTGTGCAATTGAATCAAAGCACCAAATATGTACATGAACACACAATCAAATCCACAAATGTGCCTTATGTACATTCATGTGCAATACCGCTGCATGTGATGCTGCTACTCCACAAACCTGAACCGAATGCAGTCATTATATATCGAGCAAACATGTCCAAGTGGCCTTGGTGTTTGTTGTCACTATTTGATTTTAATGCTTGATGCTTAATGTATCAAACCTAATGACACCATCAGTCTCCAATTTTGGTTCTGAGATCTTATGCCCCAGGATCTCCTAACCTGGCCAGCCTCTGTAGTGTGGTGGACCACCTTGCTGACATAATCTTTCTATGGATCAACTACCAATTCAACTGCCTCAAGCAACAATTTAAAGAAAAGGAAAGGAAATGTGTTAAATGTTACTCAAGACCAAGAACCAGGTTGATATGGTCAAGTGGTATTTATTGCACATTGTTCGGGCATAATAAAACTGTTAGCAGCATGCTCGTTTATTTCTTAAAATATGTATCTCCCATCCTCTATATATCAAAATATCTCAAGGCAGTTTACAGAAAAGTTGTAAACATTTAAAAAGCATGACACAATTTAAACTACAGCACAATACAAAACACTTCAAACCAATTGTTCTAGCCATGTTCTCTATGCCACAAGAATTTGGTAAAGAGCTAAATATAAAGAATCAAGTTTTAACTTGGTGTTAAAGCGAAGCCAGCATTAGAGTCAATGGAAATTGCAAGGGAATAGCACCCCCCAATTAGGGTGCAGCACAGATTTCCACATTTCCACATGTATTCCTCCCTCTGATGGATTATAGCTGAGAACTTCCTTGGAGACTTTCAGTTCCTGGATGAGGACTAGAGGCAGAGAAAGAGAGGGAGATCCTAGCATCAGAACGAATTGCAAAAATCAGAAGGGACTGACACACCTAAAGTGCTCTTGAGTGACGGTCATCAAACTTCTGTTAAAGAATTCCAAAGAAGGAGACCCCACCACTCTCAAAGACAGTCTATTCCATTCTATAGAATTATAGATCTATGAATCTATCTGTAGATTACTTGAAAAAATGACCCGTCATTATCCCTCATGGATATGACATTGCAGAAACCGCAAATATTCTGGACTCATGCCTGAAAGGATGAGAGCTAGGGTCCAGATTCACTCATCATCAACCAAGATAATGTCCCCAAGAGCCATTCTTCGTGAGGATTGTCTTCCCATGTCTTCTGTGTCCTCTTGCTCACCACTTTGGCTTCTGTGCTTTTTGGCTACAGTGTCAATTAACTTGGTTGCATCACTGAGAGTCTTATGAGCTCGCTGCCCTGTTGTTTTCAACTTTACATCCTCCTGGCCCGTTCCTATGGCCTTCAGAGGTTTGTTTTTTCCTGAGTGCTCATGTTGTTCTTTCATCTGCTTCAGTTTGAAACGGTGTCTTCCAGATCCCTGGGAAGAATTGTCTGGAATCTTTGCATCATCTTGAGTATCAGAGGTTTCAAGGTTCTCAAACACATACTGGCGGGTTAGAGGTTTGCGACATGGCATGGGAGAGTTTTTGGCTATCTTGCCATTTCCCTCTGTGGGCACAATAATCTGAATCTCACACAAGGGCTTAGAGCCACCTGATAAATGAATATCATCCTGATTCTCTAAAGTGGACTTCTCAACTGACTTGACCTTGTGAAGGTTTTCCATCTCTGCCAGTGCCACATTTTTAACCCGTTTAATATGAGGCTCGTTATTAAAAGAGCCAACACTAGCTAGTTTAAAAGCTGCCAGTTGAGCATCCCTTTGAAGGCTCATCATCTTCTTCAGCTGAGCTTCTTTCACCTCCAAGGGGATCTCAAGAGGAGTCAATTTCATCGGTCTCCTCAGTGCAAGATTATCCATGCTTTGAGCCTCTGCTGTATAAAATTTGAAAGATTTACTCCCTTCTTTGGGTGCTTTCATTTCCTCATTTGTTAGCTTTGTATCTGAAAGATTGGGAGCAGAACGGTGGAAATTGGGAGGCCTGAGATTATTCTCCTTTTTTTCTCCTCCTGGTAGTATTAGGATAGGTTTCTGAGGCTGCAGATTCATTACAGTAATGTCACTGACAGTGCAATTGAACTTTGACATTCCTTCCTCTCCTCTTCCAGAACTCTGAAAATGAAACAAAAATTTAGAAGGTCATTTTGTACCATAAATGAGTCCTAATACACATTTGTCATACAAGGCATTCTTCTACGTTAGTAAAGTCATTAATTCAGAAAATAAGCAACAGAAATAACAGTTTCCAACTCAGTTTGGGAAAAGAGGGAAAGTGTAAACTCTCATGAAAGCTTTGATTCACTAAGAAATTATCCAGGACAAGCCTAGAAGATTTCCATATACAGAACTTTCTGAGAGACTTGGGGCCTTTCCACACAGCCATGTAACTCAGAATATCAAGGCAGAAAATCCCAGAATGTCTGCTTAGAACTGGGTTATCCGAGTCCACACTGCCATATATTCCAGTTCAAAGCAAAACATATGGGATATTATTCAACTGTGTAGAAGGGGCAATAGTCATGTCATCATTCACTAAATTTCTTATGGAAGGAATCAATGAATAATTCTAGCAATTGACTATTCACAACTCAAGACTTATTTTGTACAAAATTCATACATTTTTGCAGAAAAAAAGAATTTTTGCACAAAAATAGTATTCCTGCATAGAGATTATTTCTTGGATCTTAAATGATGTTGCCTATTTTGTTATTTTCTGCACAACTACATGAAAATTTTGCACAGAATGAATCCCAAACTGTGAAGTATCTCATCAATCCATGAATATTTTCCTCGAGGTTTCATAAAAATCAAAACATCCGTTTTTAACCATTTATCAAGTATTTTCAAATATTCTTTCCACTCCCAGCGAAACATATATTTAATCCTATGAGGTGGTCATGTTAAATCATTACAACACTTTAACAAAAATTATATCAGTCCTACTAAGTTCATCAAGATTTATTCAACAATACTGATCTGTCTCATCATATAGTTTTCAAGGTAAAAGAGTTGTTACCATTGTTGCCTTCTGTGCGGTTCTAACAAGAGTTAGCTAAAGTGCTTCAGGGATAACAACTGTTATCTCTGAAGGATTCTCTGTCATTCTCACACACATCCGCACTACTTTTGTGAAGTAAGTGAGGGCACATTTTATCTGGCTCTTCACAAAAAGTATGTCTGTGTGAGACCCTACCATCTGGGTAGCCTCACATGGAGTCCTACCAGCACTGAAATGTTATTTCCAAGATGACTAGATTGAGTGTATCATACTTTGGACATACCATGAAAAACTAATTTTCATTGGGAAAAAATAAAGCTTGGCAAGTGACTTGAGAACCTGTAAGTCGCTTCTGGTGTGAGAGAATTGGCCATCTACAAGGACGTTACCCAGGGGGCGCCCACATGTTTTACCATCCTGTGGGAGGCTTCTCACATGACCCTGCATGAGAAGCTGGAACTGACAGATGGAAGCTCACCCTACTCCCCAGATTGGAACCATTGACTTTTCAGTCAGCAGTCCTACCGGCACAAGGGTTTGTGAAATAACTCTATCAAGGAAGCCATGGTCATGATTTCCTAAAACCCAGACATGGCTGCTGATGACTGTTAAAGTGCTGAAAGGGATTTTTTGTTTTCTTTTTGGTTTTTGGTTTTGTTTTTGCTATTTGTCTGATATTGGTATGGAATGGTAGTGCTATCATCCACTCTTTGCTAGATTATCATTGACTTCAATGGGGGTGGAGTAACTACAGTAGGTCTGGTGGTCAATTTTCTGTTCTTGGGACCTTTTGTGGACCACACAGTTTACAAAAATAATAATAATTTAACTTCATTGCATATAGGCTAGAAAAATGTATCTCCTTCAGTGAAGATAGCCCTTGTGGTCTCTTCCAATTCAACGTTTCTTTGCATAATGATGAAATAAAATATACAAAAAAAACCTTGCATACATTTGAAACATCTCCATGATTAAAATATTTAAATTTGAAAAATAAAAGAATCATACCACAGAAATCCCAGTGACGTGTCAATGTAATCTTCCCATAGCTTTGCACTAATTAGCTTAGTGCCTGTCAAGCCTTAAGCATAAGATTTCTCTTTACCTTGCACATGTTGTCTTATAGTCTCTTTAAATACAGTGATTATATTCAAAGGTTCTTGTTACTGAACTCCATTCTAACCCCCCACCTCTGTCCATAATTGTCCAATACACCAAAGAAAGGGAGATGGGGGAGATATACTCAGAAGAGAAGTACATACAACAGAACTCTTGTATAAGGCAGATTACATATTAATCCTTGGCAACATGTAAAGGCTGTCTTCTTTTGTGAGGCTTTATTCAGTGATGATTCAAACTCTGTTGTAAGAAATATGTGCTTCAAGACTTCTGTTGGGTTCCAGCCAAAAAATGAATGACTTGAACCACCATATTGTTTTGGATACGGTAGCCCTACACATTATCTATTCAAGATTATATAAAAATTGAAAAAGGTAAGCATCCAGCACCTTCTTTTCCAGCATCATTCAATGGTGGTCTGAAAAGGAGGGTGTCTTCTACCTATTGAGGCTCTTCATGCACAAAACAAAGGTCCCTTGTTCTTAATGCTACTGTTCTTATGCTGGAAGTAATTTCAGGGCAGGTGGAAGGTAGCACATTTCCCTGCTTGCATATCTATCGCAATGTGATTACATAACACCTGAGTGTAGTTCTTCTCTCTACAAATTACCCATGGTCTTTACATAACAGTCAGTTACATAATAAGGCAATTGATTGCTTAATAGCCTTAATCTAGGTATAATTCACCCACTGAAAAGTATACCTAACTAAGGTTAAGGCAGGAGAAGAATTAAGTCTGTTGGGAGTGCCAAGCATCAAAATTTAATCTCTACATGCCCTTGACCATGTCACATACCTTTGGGCTTCAGCACTTACATTGGTTAAGATCAAGGTTCCCAAGAAGAGATATCTCAGATTAGGCTATTGTATCCACATTTAAGAATCTAAAATTAGCTTTGTTTCAGTGCTAAAGCCATTCATTTTTAAAATACTAACATAAAGTCTAAGCAATCTAACTTTTGATATTACTGTGTGACTCTCTGAGTTGCCTGTGCTTAAATAGAAATGTCTATCACAGGAGAAAACTTGTCTACTTTTTCATAAGCCTTTCCAGATCTAAACATTTGAGTGAAAACTGATAGATTCACCTCATGGTCACTATAAGTCAGAAATGACTTGAAGGCACTCAAGAAGCAGAAGCTTATGTTGAATCCCTTTTTGTATCATCAAATTGAACAGTGCTCTTACACAACAGCATGCCATTTTATAGGGGAAGTTGAATTATTACACACAAGAGAAGATTGTGTGCCGGGGATCACAGGATCCTCCTTGTAGATCTGGTACTGGAGTCTACTTTCTAATAGCCCAGGAGGTATAGCAATTAGCAAATGCAATGTATAGTGCATTTAATGGTATAATATAATGGTATAGTGCAATATGGTAATATATACTGATACTGTACTATGCTAATAATATAATACATTGTATGAAAATATATATTGTAAGCCGCTCTGAGTCCCCTGAGAAGGGCGGCATATAAATGCCGTAAATAAATAAATAAATAAATAAATGTAGTAATGGAGCTTGGTGATTTTGGTTCAAGTCTCTATAATACAGAGTAGCAAATCAGGTATTATCACTTGATGTAACCAATTCAGGCTCCCTGAATTCTGCATTTGTATTCACTATACACTGAATGTTGATTGTTTCCAAATGAAGGACACAGTTCTTTTACACTTCCTGCTCCACACTCTTGCAATTTTAAAATCATAACCTAAAACATTCTTACTTCCCAAAGGGAATTTGAGTTGGATATTGTTTGATAATCAACTATATTTGGACTACATAGATTGTTTTATATTGGACTACATCATTTTGTTTTATATTGTGCTGCATTTTTGTATTTTTTCTGGTTAAATTGTTTTACAATTGTATTATGTAATTTATATTTTAATTATTCCTTAATTCCCTATGTGTGCATTGTTTTACACATATATTGTATATTGTACTGCTTTGGCACGACCTAGGGTTTTCAGTTGTCTTACTGGTTTTCATTGATGATGGTATCATCATTGTCATCATCATCGTCATCAAACATTTTTCAGTTATAATGATCACAAGGACCAACCCCTGAATAGTTTGGGACATTCCTACCTTCGTGACCACATTTCCTTCTGTGAACCTACACGTCCCCTTCGATCTTCCGGGGAGGCCCTCCTCTCACTCCCACCTCAGTCGCAAGTGTGGCTTGTGGGGACGAGGAAGTGGGCCTTCTCGGTGGTGGCCCCCCAGCTTTGGAACTCATTACCTGGGGAGATTAGGCATGCTCCCACATTGTCACCTTTTAGGAAAAACTTGAAAACCTAGCTGTTCCACCTTGCTTTTGATGAATAAACAACAATCCCCATACCATGTCCGCCCCAGCATATACTTGTCCTCTTGATGCACTTCTCCTTATCCCTTTTGGGTAATTATGCCCCTCAGCTGTCCCTCCTGTACCTCTCACCAGATAATTCTCTCCAGTTTCCTATCCCGCCCTATGCCCTCTGTTTTTTATTCTGTGCATATGGCCTAGCCCATCCCGATTTATTCCTTGACCTTAACTGTTATTTCATTTAATGCCTGATGTTATATTCCACTGTGTTATCTTTCCTTTATTTTTTATGTTATTCTTTTTTATTGTGGTATATTATTTTAATTTAATTTTGATTTGAATTATTATTTTGCTGTATGTATTTCATTTGTTTATTGTATTCATCAGACTTGGCCTCATGTTAGCCACCCTGAGTCCCTGAAGGGAGATAGTGGCGGGTATAAATAAAGTTTAATAATAATAATAATAATAATAATAATAATAATAATATAAAACTTATTTGAAAATCATTTAAAATATAAAAGGATGAAAAACAAAACACTCTATACATTTATTTACCATCTTCTATCCCATGAGCATTCAATAAAGCTTCCAAAAAGAGAATAAACTGAGCTATCAGCCTTTTGTTAAAAGTAATTATTGAGCACTGACTGGAACTAAAGGGCCTTTCCTACTCACTGACAACTGAGCTACAAAGAGGCTAAGCTAACTTTCCTAGAACATGAATTACGCAATTCAGATGCCACCATGTTGAATTTAAGTCTAATCCAATATAACTTAATTGGCCTTTAGCTATAAACCTCAGTGACTGAGTCTGAGAAAATGGCTGACTCTTAGCCTGTTATAAGTATGAGCTTCCATATCATGGAACAGGTTATTGTTAATAAGGTTCTAGAAACATGTAGAAAGATCTAGACCTATATACCTGAAGAAACACCTCCTCCTACATATTTTCCTGTATCCCCCCCTACTGGCTCTGGAGTCACTTATTTTTGGAGCAGAAATCTGTGCAGATTTCTGATAAGTTACTTGAATGTCTGGGAAATCCTACCATACCTCAGAAATATTGGGCATTCCATTTGTCATTTCATTGAAAAAATGGCTTTTTGAAGTAGACCAATCTAAAGTTGGTGAGTTGGTTTCAAGTTGCTGTATTTTTTGTTCTAATTCCTTGTATTTGCTGTGAAATATGAAGCATTTTCTTTATGGTTCTGAATTATTAGTCCTGTTTTTCTTCTATATTTTGATCAGAAAAGGTTTGTGTGTGTGCGTGCATGTGTGTCAGGAGTGACTTGAGAAAATGCAAGTCACTTCTGCTGTGAGAGAATTGGCCATCTGCAAGAACATTGCCCAGAAGACTCCCAGGTGTTTTGATGTTATTACCATCCTTGTAGGAGGCTTCTCTCATGTCCCTGCATGAGGGGCCAGAGCTGACAGAGGGAGCTCATCCTCGCTCTCCCTGGATTCGAACCTGCAACCTGTTGGTCTTCAGTTCTGCCAGCACAAGGGTTTAATCCACTGCACCAGGCTGTTAGGAATTGTATGAGTTGAAGTTCAAAACACCTTGAGGGCCAAAGTTTGGCCATGCCTGAGCTATAGCTGGTAGCTCCCATTTCAGTGGGATAATAAACCCACTCCAGACGTCAAAGGAGCTCATCAACATGTGGAATTATTTCCTTAAATAGATTCAGCACGGTGGACAGTTCCTCTAAAGGGAGTGGAAACCTGGAATGGGTTCACGTCACTACTGATGTCAGAGCCACCAGTCACCACTATGAGATTCTATGAGAGGATTGTGAATAGGTGATTACTCTTAGCCCAACTTATCTCATGATAAGCAAAGAAGCAAACAAGCCATAAAGGCGGCCTAAAAATCAGACCATCCTAAGTACATCATTAAATAATGCATGTGAATATTATTTTAAGAATATTAATTAAGTCTTGAATTATGAATCACAGATTTGAAGATCACAGATTGTTGGCATATAAAACACAAAACGCAGTGTGTGTCCTCTTTCCATCTAGTAGTAAAAATCAGTACTAACGACTACATTTTCTTGCCATCAGGTCCTTAAGGGTGACTGTCCCGGCTAGTGAATAGGGCTGACCCTGGCGTTTACTCAAGTCATAACATTATCACAATATGTAATTTCTATCTCTCTTGGCACTAACTAACAATGCAATTTAACCAAGCACGGGGAAATCCATGACATGATGGTGCCACACTGACAGGTGTGCATTGCAATTAATGGCCAGCGAGAGAGGCAATTGAGTGTTGATCTGCCTTATTTAGCAGCGACCTCATGTTAAGGGTGACTTGAAGCACCATTACTAGACCACTAAGCGGAGAAGTCCAAAATGTCAATATTAGAATGGAGAGAGGAAACAAAGCAAACAAATGCACTATGTGAGATACTGTTGGCAAGAAACCAAAAAGCTACGCTCTGTGAAATACTAGGAACAGAATTATAGACTCATAGAGTTGGAAGAGACCTTGTGGGCCATCCAGTCTAACCCTATTCTGCCAAGAAGCAGGAAAATTGCATTCAAAGCACCCCCAACAGATGGCCATCCAGCCTCTGTTTAAAAGACTCCAAAAAAGAAGTCTCCACCACACTGTGGGGCAGAGAGTTCCACTGCTGAACAGATTTATCTCACAATCAGGAAGTTCTTCCTCATGTTCAGGTGGAATCTCCTGTTCTGTAGTTTGGAGCCATTTTTCCGTGTCCTAGTCTCCAGGGCAGCGGAAAACAAGCCTGCTCCCTCCTCCGACTTCCCCTCACATATTTATAGATGGCCCTCATCGTGTCTCCTCTCAGAAGGGAGGCTGAGATAGCAGTGATTTGTAATAAAGCTGCACATGTATTCAAACATACTTGGATATATAGAACAAACCTGCTTAGGATTAAGCTGCACGTGTGGAGAGAGAACATAACTAATTATTTAAAGACGATGTTCAATCACGAGACATTTATTCAACTAATGGCATTATGGCAGTACTATGAAGCTTTGATCCACATGCTTAGTAATACTAAAAGCCCTTTCAGCAGCCAGCTGAGGTTATAAGCATGTGGCTTCTGCATTATCTCACACATAATTTTTGTTTCCAAAATCAGGAATGCTTTGTTAAAGTCAGCTTTTGTTTGCAATGGAACCAAGTTTATACTCATCCAACAGTTCTGATCCTAAAGGGAAGATGGGCCTGGGTTGCCATAATTATTTGTTGACTAATTTGTAATCATGCTTTCCCATGGAAAAATATATTATTTTATGCACAGAAAACTCTACATCCTGTACTGAAAATGCACAAAGCAATCCCATGCAAGTTATGCATAGATAAGTCTTACATTGCAAAAAAAAAAATCTCATTGGTCCAGGATTTTCTCATCAGGATTTCTTGATACTCAAAAATCATGTTGTACAATATTTCCTCAAATTGAACATCCTTTCCATTCCTACACTGAACTGCACATATACAATGTATTGTCAAAGGCTTTCATGGCCGGAATCACTGGGTTGTTGTAGGTTTTTTGGGCTGTATGGCCATGTTCTAGAAGCATTCTTTCCTGATTTTTCACCTACCATGGATGCAGGTGAAACATCCGGAGGGAATGCTTCTAGAACATGGTCAAAAAACCTACAACTTTGTTAGTATTAATATGGTAATTTATTTTATTTATCGTATCAGGAGCGAATTAACAGTACAGTTTTAATGTATTTAAAAAACACAAAGTTTAAAAACTTGGCGCTATAGAAGCCTCCCTGCAGGATTGCAAAACATCCAGGCATCCCCTGGGCAACATCTTTGTAGATGGCTGATTCTCTCATACCAGAAGCAACTTGCAGTATAATATGGTAATGCTCCTGATAATATTAATGAGCAAATGTAACACATAGGGTCAGGCATGTAGCCAGGGAGGGGCTTGGGGGACTTCAACCCTCTTCCCCGAAATTCTCATGGTGGTCTGCGAGAAGGCCTTACTGGTACATTATTTAAACTGTTATGTTATTCATATCATGATCTGATCACCATGCTCAATATATCCCATATGCATGAGGGTATTGGGGTAACGATACAAAAGGTTTGCTAGGGTAGACCCTCTTTCACTCAAACTCAGTCCCCACCCCCAAATCAAACTCAGCTCCCCCCAAAACAAAATCCTGGCTAAGGGCCTGCATAGGGTGTATAATAGAACCATACAATCTGCACAACCCATAATTGCATGCTCAAAAACATTTGAAAAAGTGAAAAAAGAGAAAAGAATGACAACTTCAATGCAAAAAGAAGTATTCAAAAGAGGGAGCATTATAGTTTAAACTGTTATTTTACACCAAAGGCTCCCTAGCTCTTAGAAAACAAACATGACAATGACATTTTCTAAGGCTAGATATTTTTAAAAAGAAAAATGGAAAAATATTGGGATTGTATAATCTTCTAACCCAAAGTATTAAATTATAAAGTCTGGAAATATTCTGGATGTCTCCGTTCTTTTCCCCTTTCTTTGGTGTAGTTTCCAGTGCTAATAGCACTGTGGTCCCCTGAAATAGAGTGGAACCCGATCTAATGGCTGCAGTTGGAACAGAGCTATGTACATTTGCATGAAACAAAGTTCACAGCTCCAGCACAAGATCTATCTCTAACTATAGAGAACCTTGCCTTTCAGTATACTTACAAGTCGTCCTGGTAAGTCTTGTTTCGCTCTCTGCGTTATCATCCCTGCTCTCGGTTCTTGCCACTGACAGGACTGCTTCAGGCCAAGTGCTGCCAATGTTGTCCTTATGATGTGATCCCAGACTATGGAGAGCCAGGCAAATGGGATAAGCAAGGACTTAAGGAAGATGCTTTAAAGATACGTCACGGGGGATTAGGGTCGGCTTTTATAGAGGCACTTAAGGAAATTGGCCCAGCATGGGTTCCAAAAGTCAAGACGACACAATAAAAGCAAACACTACTTTGTATTTCCTTAAATTGCCATTCCTCTTTTTTTAGTACCTGGTTTACTGTAGCACAGCAGTAGGGTGGTTTTGTGAGTGAGTAACTATCTTTATACTATTGCATAACTCACCAGAAAAGAAGCTTTCTTTTAAAATAGCCAGACTGTATTACACCATCACCACTCTCTTAATCATTATCATTTGCATGGTACTGTAGTCTGCAACTGGGTAGGATACAAAGGCGATTTCTGATTTTAGCTGCTTCCTTGCTCTTGAATGCACACAACTATTTTTTCTCATTTTATGTATTTTGTATGCAGTATATGGACATCTGTATTTTCCTAATGACTGCATGATTATAGGTTTCTTAATCTGTGCAGCTACCTACACATTCCTCCAAATGTATGCCTTTAGAAGTCATTTCTCAGAGAGTCTGTAGTAGGAGAAACACTCACAAAAACATACATTCAGAGAAAGGCCTTCAAAAATATGCATGCACTTTTTTTGCAAACAATATGTCCAACAATTTGAGAAGTGACAGAGAAATGCAACTTACTTCTTTTCACATGTAGTGCTGGCTCAACAGCAACATGTATGAAAAAGATCTTGGGAGTCCTTGTGAACAACAAGTTAAACATGAGCCAACAATGTCATGTGGCAGCTTTAAAAAGCCAAAGAGATTTTGGCCTGCATATAAAGGAGTATAGTGTCTAGATCCAGGGAAGTCATGCTACCTCCCTATCCTGCCTTGGTCAGACCACACTTGAAATACTATGTCTAATTCTAGGCATTGCAATTGAAGGGAAATCTCAACAAGCTGGAAAGTGTCCAGAGGAGGACGACTAAAATGATCAAGGGTCTGGAGAACAAGCCTATGAGGAGCAGCTTCAAGAGCTGGTGTTGGAGTTCAGCCTGTGATTGTGTCTAATCATCATGGTACTCCGGATGCTGGGAATGACAATGATGTTTCTAATGATAAAGTTGCTCTAGATACAGAGAAGGACAATTCAAAGTGTATTTTCTGACAAGAATATTCCTGAAGAGTTTGGGGATTATGATATATTCCCCGGAAAAGGGCCTGAATTGCTACCAGAGAATTCCCAAGACTTTCAGCCTGAGAAAAGCTTGGCACCTGGCCCAGCTGTAGAAATTAATGACCCAGTAGATAGAAGGCATGTTTTCAGACAGTACAGGCAAACAACCCAATCTCTCAGGTGTTCTGCCAGACTGAGAGAGAGATTGATGACAGAGTCAAGGCTGAAACGAAATCTGTTCCTGGCCACTTGGGGCATAGAGTAGATTAAGGGATAAAAGTGCCAAATATAGAATCCATAGTCAGACAAAGCAGCGTTGGAATTAAGTCAAGATGTCTTTCCTGGTCCTTGGAAGTCTTGCCTTGGATAGATGCATGTGTTAAGTGTCTCGTTTGATTTCATGGACTCAGGGCAAAACACAAATACTGCACTCCAGATGAGGAAACCCTCTGTCTCTAAACACCATACAGCTGAGTAAAATGCATGCAGTTTATTGTCAAAGGCTTTCATGGCTGGAATCACTGGGTTATTGTAGGTTTTTTGGGCTATATGGCCATGTTCTAGAAGCATTCTTTTCTTCATAGCACCTCCCCACCTGGCAGCACAATGCAGTTGGGGTGCACTGAGGACAGTCCGCCCCGGTTGACAGTTGCACCGGGAGTGGGGGGGCATCCCCCATACAGAGGACCCTTGCGGTATCTGCCCCCCCACGAGGGTTCACATCCTGGGATCAGCTGAAGCTCCAGATGGTGATTACACCTGTCGCAGAGCACTGATGTACATTAAGGGCTTCCTTCCATGCAGTTGTGGAGGAGTTTGTTGGCTGGCCACCACAGTTTGAAGGTAGCTTTGAACTGTGTTAAATGTTCAGTGTAGATGGGACTTCAGTGCAGCAGCAACTATAAACCCATAAGTCATGCAAGAGAAACCCACAAATGTGTGTGCTGACTGTGTTCCATTCAATCTACTGGTATGTATTGACATTATTGGCTTTACTACATATAGAGGCAGCTCCTGGAAAGAACAGAGAAACTAAAAAAGAAGAAAGTAGAAAGAATTAACAGAAGTGTTAATAGCAGGGATTAATGCATCTCACTGAAAGGGCATATTTTTGCACAGGAAATAATGTGATGCCCCACAGATATCCTCATCAGAAACACAAAACCCACCTTTGTGCTTCAGGGAGATCTATATTGGTTAATAACAACAACACTTTCATATTAGTTGGATCAAGGCTTTCATTAGCCAATGGCAGAGTTACTTAAATATCACTGGTGATAAGGTTTAATCATTATCTATTTACTCTAGCTCACTTGGAGGTTTTGGAATAGCATACTGGGTACAAATAGTGCCAGCAATCAGAAACATTACAGCGTAGACAAAATATGTGCTGAGTGATGGAAGGCCAGATAATTGATGCCTGAGTGCAGCTTCAATGTATATCATAGGTGTACTGTCATACTGAGATATTGATGACCATAAATTATCATAATAGTGACACTGGGTTGGGTCCAGATTTAGTTCTTCCCTATAGTACACCAGTTAATGTCATTGGGACATTAAACAGGGGTTCTGAATTGGTCTACTGCAAGTACTCCCATTGATTTCAATTGGTCAACTTTACTTGTGTGTAAAGTCCATATCTTGCCTATTATTATTTTTCTATGAGAAAAGAGGGAAGATACATCTCCAAGTGCTCATTTGTTTTTGAAAATCATAGCATGTTTCAACCTATGTTTCGACCACTCGCTTTTTCCTCCAAAGTATGTTATATTACTCATGGCCTGCTTCAAGAGCAATAGGAAGTCTAACAGCAGAAATTTCTGAAGCTGAAAATGTCATTTCATTTACTAGGCTGAACAAAGGGCTTAAAAAAAATAATACCACCCAAAGCATATTATAGAATAACACAGGATGACCTAGCTATGCCTAGACAAGTGTTCTAATTTAACAAAACAATGTTAAATTAGGAAGGGACACACTTGTGCTTGCAAAATGTGTGGATGTCAAAGAAGGCAAAGCTAGACAGATCCGTCCATCCCTAGCTAGGACTCTTAGAAAAATGGTATCACACTGAAGTTCAGGACATCTAAATTGGAGACATTTCTGAAGTGCTGAGTGGATCTCATTCCATTTCTCCTCAAAGTCTCTGGCTCTGCTACCATCCATAATCAAAGGATCGAAATTACCTCTCTATTTTCCTTTGGGTTAAATCTGTGGCAAACCTACAGCAACTGAAATGGACTTTTCTGATAACTTTGAACTAAAATGCCATGAGGTTGTCAGAATGATTGGGCTGGCAGAGCTAGGAACACTATACACTTACGAAGGACTCAGAACTGGATTTGAATAGGAGATTTCCAGGTCTAGGTCATATTCTTTGCCTTTGTATTCTTCTTCATTGAAATCCCTTTGAAGGATGACCTTCATATCTTTTATGCACACATCTCCCAACCAGGAAAGAAATGCCTGGACTAATGCTGCTCCTCAGACAAGTACTTAAGTAGCTCAGTTCGAGTACGCAAATAGGAAGGGATGATTGGATGGACAGCTCATTCATCACAGCTCTAAAGCAGGAGATTACAAAAGTAAAAATATTTATAACCAGTACTGCATACTAATAATCATTAATAAAAAATGATTCATAACTGATTGAGTTTGATAGGTCTATGGTACTCCAGTCAAAGGATCCTGATTTAGCCTCTGAAAAGGACAGCAAGCTCAGACTGGAAATGAACATGATGCTGAGCTTCTGCTTTTTAGTTTCTTGTCTTCTAGCTGGGATCCCACCTGTGAAGAGACAAAAGACAGAAATGCATTCATTTGCTGGGAAGGAGCTGAAGTGATGAAGGTTAATTTTTCAATCTGGTATCACTACCTTCATTTTTTGAATCAATTTGGATATGGGTTGTTGTAGGTTATATGGCCATGTTCTAGAGGCATTTTCTCTGAGGATGCTTGCCATAGATGCAGGCGAAACGCCAGGAGAAAATGCCTCTAGAACATGGCCATATAGCCTGGAAAAACCTACAACAACCCAGTCATCCCGGCCATGAAAGCCTTCGACAATACAATTTGGATAGTTTGGATCAAAGCCGCCCCCATTGAACTGCATTTGTATGCAAGGGGAGCTTTTTTTTTCTAAATACAGACACATACATGCACACTGTTTTAATGGCTACAAACCTATCAATTTGCTTAAGCATGATCCTCTCTCCTATGGATGCAAAAATGTGTGAATTTAATCCTACAGATAAGAATGAAGATTAGAAGGAGGTAACAGATTGGATGTTTTGCCATCTGCATCCTTTCCTGGAGCTGGGACATCTAAAGATGGTAGTGCTGGCAACTTCAAGATAGACTTCTAGCTGATGTCCTTCTTGGTTAGAGAAAGAAGCACATTCAGTAAGGTAAGGTGATGCAAGTTAATTTTTCAGCCTGGTATCACTAGCTTCATTTCTTGAACCATTCTGGATATTTTGGAACAATATGGTCATCACTGACTTGTATTTGTGTGAGAGATGGTCTGGGCATTGGGCTACCCCTGAACGAACTTCAAAATCTTCCTTTAGTTCAAAATAAGGTTGTTTTTTTTTTTGTCGTGTCAGGAGTGACTTGAGAAACTGCAAGTCGCTTCTGGTGTGAGAGAATTGGCCGTCTGCAAGGACGTTGCCCAGGGGACACCCGGATGATTTGATGTTTTTATCATCCTTGTGGGAGGCTTCTCTCATGTCCCCGCATGAGGAGCTGGAGCTGATAGAGGGAGCTCATTCGCCTCTCCCTGGATTCGAACCTGCGACCTGTCGGTCTTCAGTCCTGCCAGCACAGGGGTTTAACCCACTGCGCCACCGGGGGCTCCA